TATACAAACGGTGTCTGTCCCCCGACCACCTAAATTATTTAAATCTAAAATTAAACAAAGAGGAGTTGTGCATAACAACCTCATAGGCTCATAGGCTTTTGTAAACATCTTGTCACTCTGATTATTAGAAAATGTTTTTGGTTTTTATTTCTAAGTTACGTAACACACTTCTCAGCAGAATGAGAAACAAAGAGTCCTTTCCTGTTTTAGTTTGTTTTGGAAGCACAGACACGTCACATGATCTCGTGAGCTCAGTAAAAGAACAGAAATGAGTTTTCATGCACACTAGATTTATTTCAGACACACTCAGCCCACAGTGACATGAGTCATACCACAAACAGGAAGTTAATTTTTCACAGTCTAAAGGTGACTGAGGTTCTTTGGTCTCCGTCCAATCATCACTGTCGTAACTCTCAGCTTCAGAAGAGTCTCCTGACTTGTCCTCAGTTTCTGGACCTGAATTCCTGGTTGGTCCTGGTCCCGGTTCTCCACAGTGGTGTCCATCAGCTTCTGTTTCCATCAGCTGAGGTGCCGTCTGGAGGCTCCGCCACTCTGCTCTGCTCAGGTTGAGTCTGATGAAGCTGTGACGGCTGACGGTTGGCACAGGTGTGTCTTTTGGCCTGTTGAGACCAGGTGAACCTTCGACCGCAGACAGAGCAGCTAAATGGTTTCTCTCCTGTGTGAGTTCTCATGTGTTTCTGCAGATATGATTTTCGCCGACATTTGAAATCACAGATTACGCAGCCAAATGGTTTCTCTCCGGTGTGGATCTGCAGGTGTAACTGAAGACTTCCTCTCTGTGTGAAAGATTTCTCACAAACGATACAGCTGAACGGTTTCTCTCCGGTGTGAGTCCTCAGGTGTTTCTTCAGTGTTGCCTTCAGGCCAAAACTTTTCCCGCACTCAGAGCAGCTGAATCGTTTCAGATGATTCACAGGGATGTCATTGTTTCCCAGAGAGTTTAAACCCAACTGAGGTTCTCTGGTCTCCTTCCAGTCATCAACACTGACTTCAATCTCAGCGACAACAGGGTCTCTGGTCTCGTCATCAGTGTCTGGTTCAGAAGAGTCTCTGGGCACTGGTACTCCTCCTCCGAGCACTGGTCGCACTCCTCCTCCGAGCACTGGTCGCACTCCTCCTCCGAGCACTGGTCGCACTCCTCCTCTGAGCACTGGTCGTATTCCTCCTCTGCGCACTGGTCGTACTCCTCCTCCAGGCGCTGGTAGTTCTCCTCCTCTGAGCACTGGTCGTACTCCTCCTCCAGGCGCTGGTAGTTCCCCTCCTCCGAGCACTGGTAGTTCTCCTCCTCTGAGCACTGGTAGTTCTCTTCCTGTGAGCACTGGTAGTTCTCCTCCACCAGGCACTGGTAGTTCTCCTCCTCTGAGCACTGGTCGTACTCCTCCTCCAGGCGCTGGTAGTTCTCCTCCTCTGAGCACTGGTCGTACTCCTCCTCCAGGCGCTGGTAGTTCCCCTCCTCCGAGCACTGGTAGTTCTCCTCCTCTGAGCACTGGTAGTTCTCTTCCTGTGAGCACTGGTAGTTCTCCTCCTCTGAGCACTGGTAGTTCTCCTCCTCTGAGCACTGGTAGTTCTCCTCCACCGGGTCCCGGTCTTGGCGGTCCTGGTGGTGCTCCTGGTCCTCCACAGTGGTGTCCCTCAGACTGAGGTTTCTCTTCATCATCTTCACTCTTCACAGGGACAGGAGTGAATGTGAACTTGGTGATATCAGCCTCCTCCAGCCCTTGAAGCTGCTCTCCCTCCTGACTGCTCCACAGTTCCTCCTCTTCCTCTTTAATATGTGGGGGCTCTGGGTCCTCCTGGTCCACACTGGAGCTCCACTCCTGCTGCTCAGGGGGAACCTCTTCTTTAACCACCAACAGCTGCTGCTGGACCTCTGCACCAAACAGGAAACAGGAAACACACATTTTATTAATATTTTTTGTCCAAATTCATAATATTTTTCAGACATCTTACCCATTATTGTTGGACTTTACATTAACATTGTTTCGGTCATTTTATCAACACTGTTTTAGGTTTTGAAATTTTTTTCTGACATTTCATCAACATTTAATAATGTTTTGGGACATTTTTGCAACAATTCAATAGTATTTACAGACATTTTCTCAAAGTGTTTTTGAACTTTTAACAAAAAAACATTTTTGGACATTTCATTAACATTTTTTCTGACATTTTAATAAAGTTTTTGGATATTCTATCAACATCTTTTGGGCATTTAACATTTCAGACAATGTAATATCATTTTTAAAACATTTTATGAACATTTTTAAGACTTTTAATTGCATTTTCAGGACATTTTATTTATATTTTTTCGGGCATTGTATTCATAATTTTCGGATATTTGATTATTATTGTTTAAGCCTTTTTTTTTTTTTTACATTTTATTGTACAATTTAATATTCATTTTCAGACATTTTATCAACAGTTTTTTTGGACTTCTTAAAAATTTTCTTCTGACATTTCATCAAAGTATTTTCGAACAATTTATCAATGTTTTTTGGGTCTTTTACAATTTTTTGGGACTTTTTTTTAAATTTAAATAATGTTTTTGGACATCTTATTACTCTTTTGTCGGGAATTGTATTAATATTTTTTCAGACATTTTATAGTTTTTAAAAAGTTTTTCAGATATTTTATTTATATTTCTTCAGACATTTTATTACTATTTTTTGGTCATTATTTAAAAATATTTTATTGGAAAATTTAATACAAAGTTTCAGATTTTTTTTATCAACATTCAAAACAAAAAAATGCCTTTAGACAATTCATTAATATTAAGAAATGATCAGACTGATGAGACATCACAGTCACTGCTTACACTTACAGCTCTGTGTTTATAACCACAGAAGAAGACACTAACCTGCTCTGTGTTTATAACCACAGAAGAAGAACACACTAACCTGCTCTGTGTTTATAACCACAGAAGAAGAACACACTAACCTGCTCTGTGTAACCTGAGCTGAGGGTTGTAAACAGCGTCCAGTAGTTTCCGTTGTCGCTCGTTCTCCTCTTTTGAGTGACAAAGTTGCTCCTCGTACTCTGCTATCGTTCTTTCAAACAGCCCAAATATCTCTTCAGCAGCCGCAGTTAGTCGCTGCTTCACCAACGCTCTCAGCATTTGGACTTTACACATCTTCAGTCTCTCCGACAGCCGATCTGTGATGCTAACTTCCGCTAACAGCTAGCACGCTAAGCTAACTCCGCCGGTTCCGTGGTCTGCCGGAAGTTGAGTCAGAGTTAAAACATCCAGAATTATAAAGTGTATTCAGTCACACAGAGGCTCTGACGGATCCCTGCTGCTGAGGTACACACACACTGTATCACTAACAACAAAGACACTCTGCTAACAGACGTTTCTGCTCGACGCCATCTTGTTCAAACACTGTCAAGTTAGCCACAGGAAAGAATAGAGCTTCCGGGGCAGCTCAGCTGCTCTCCTTCAAAATAAAAGTCCAGAGAACGATTACAGAAAAATCCGTGGAGTCATGACTAAAGGCAGAAACAAACTTTTTTTAATGTATTTATTTTTAGCATATTTTTCTGGTATAACAGTTTCGTTTTACCAAACCATCTTTAATTTTATAGCAACTGTGGACTGGTAGCTGGAGAAGTGCCAGTTCACCTCCTGGGCAGTGCCGAGGTGCCCTTGAGCAAGGCACCTCCTCTGGTTAATGTAAATCTTTAGTCCATTTTTTTCGCACCACATTTGACATGCGTACAGACATCAGACTCAGACATTTTATTCAGATTCATTCATACATTTTAATAACGTTTTTTGGACATTTTATCAACATTTTTTGAGACATTTGAATAATGTTCCATCCATCCATTTTCATCTGCTTATCCAGAGTCAAGTCTAGGGGGCAGCAGGCCGAGGAAAGCACCCCAGACATCCCTCGCCCCGGCGACACTTTCCAGCTCCTCCTGGAGGAGGCGTTCCCAGACCAGATGAGATCTATAATCCCTCCAGTGTGTTCTGGGTCCAGCGTGGAATGTGCCTGGGACAGCTCTAGCAGGAGGTGCCCAGGAGGCATCCTAGTCAGATGCCAGAACCACCTCAACTGACCCCTTTCGACGCAAAGGAGCAGTAGCTCTACTCCGAGCTCCCTCCAGATGTCTGACTCCTCCCCCTAACTCTAAAGGCCCATTTATGCTCAACGTTAAATACGGATCCGGATATGGACGGAGCCTTCTGTCCGTGCTCCGCGCTCATTTCGTCTGTATTTCTGCACGTTTCCATAAAGCTTATGGATACGAGCCAAACGGAGCAGTACCACTGGGAACCGTGGGGGCAGTGTTGTTGTCACTATCCGATACGTAGCTCTAGTGAGACACGAAGACGAAATAACAATTCAATTTCTCTCATCAGCAGTACTAGAGAAAAGAATTCTCCGTCCTCCAGTCGCGATGTATTTAACGGCCTCACCGACCACAACGCTGCCTCTGTTTTTGTCTTTTATGCAAGAGGTACATTATCAATATCTCCTCCACAGTCGCCATGTTTGTTTTTGAGTTTGTTGTTGTCATAAACTTTTGACGCTGGTCTGCCTCCTGGTGGATATATTGGTTAACATCCATGCCAACGTAAAGGGCGCATGGAAGTATGTGGGCAGTGATGATAACATTGTTTGAAACGGACGTATACATTTTCGTACGTAAAGAGAGCATAAATGAGCCTTAAGGCTGAGCCCAGACACCCTACAGAGGAAACTCATTTCAGACGCTTGTATCTGTGACCTCATTCTTTCAGTCACTACCCAGAGCTCATGACCATAGGTGAGGGTTGGGACGGAGATGGACCAGGTAATCAAAATCTTTGCCTTCTGGCTCAGCTGCCTTGGAACCCTGACAGTCTGGCGCAGCGGCCGCATCACTGCAGAAGCTGCGCCGACCCGCCGATCCATCTCACGCTCCATTCTACCCTCACTGTGAACAAGACCCCTAGATACTTGAACTCTCTCACTTGAGACAGTAACTCTCCCCCAACCCAGAGAGGGCAAACCACCGGTTTCCGGCAGAGGACCATGGCGTCAGATTTGGAGGTGCTGACTCTCATCCCAACTGCTTCACACTCGGCTGCAAACCACCCCAAGTCATGCTGGAGGTCACAGTACGATGAAGCCAAAAGAACCACCTCATCTGCAAAAAGCAGAGATGCAATTCTGAGGTCCCCAAACTGGACCCCTTCCTCCCCCGGCTGCACCTCGAGATCCTGTCCATTAATATCACAAAGAGGATTGGTGACAAGGAACAACCTTGGCGGAGGCCACACCCACGAGAACGTGTTTGGCTTTACATCAAGTATGCGGCACAGCTCTCACTTTGGTCATACAGGGACCGGATGGCTCATAGCAGTGAGCCTGGCACCCCGTACTCCCACAGTACCCCCCACAAGACCCCCCGAGGGACGCGGTCATAAGCCTTCTCCAAGTCCACAAAGCACATGTAGACTGGATAGGCAAACCCCCACCAGCAGCCTCACAAGGGTAAAGAGCTGGTCCATTGTTCCACTGCCAGGACGGAATCCACATTGCTCCTCCTGAATCTGAGGTTCGACAATCTGTCGGAGCCTCCTTACCAGCACCCTAGAGTAAACTTCACCCGCGAGGCTGGGCAGTGTGATACCCTGATAGTTGGAGCACACCCTCCTGTCCCCTTTTTTGAGGATGGGGACCACCACCCCGGTCTGCCATTCTGCAGGCACCGTACCTGACCTCCACGCGACACTGAAAAGGCGTGTTAGCCAAGACAGCCCAACAGTGTCCAGAGCCTTCAGCATCTAAGGGTGAATCTCATCCACACCTGGTGCCTTGCTACTGGGGAGCTTTTTAACTACCTCAGCAACTTCTGCCAGGAATATGGGTGAAAGTTTTGTCTTCAGGCTCTGCCTTGTTCACGGTGGACATGATGGCCGGGTTCAGGAGGTCCTCAAAGTGCTCCTTCCACCGCCCGACAATGTCCCCAGTTCGGGTCAGCAGTTCTCCTTCTCTGCCGAGCACAGACAGAGACAAGCCCTGCTTTCCCTTCCTGAGTCGGTTAACGGTCTGCCAGAACTTCCTTGAGGCCAACTGAAAGCCCTTCTCCATAGCCTCCTCGAACTCCTCCCACACCCGAGTTTTTGCTTCAGCGACCACCACAGCTGCAGCCCTTCTGGCCAACCGATACCTGTCCGCTGCTTATGGAGACCCCTGGGCCAGCCAGACCCGAAAGGCATCCTTCTTCAGCCTGACGCCCTCGCTCACTGCTGGTGTCCACCAGCGGGTTCTTCAGTTGCCACCATGACAGGCAACGACAACCTTCTGACCACAGCTCCTAGCAGCCGCCTCCACAATGGAGGCTTTGAACATGGACCACTCAGACTCCATGACCCCAACCTCCCCTGGGATGGGGAGGACAGGGGCCTCAGCTAGATATTCCCAGTTCACCCTCACTAGACATTTGGGTTTACCAGGTCTGTCCGACAGCTTCCCCCGCCATCTAATCCTACTCACCACCAGGTGGTGATCAGTTGACAGCTCTGCTCCTCTGTTCACCTGAGTGTCCAAGACACACGGCTGCAGATCTGCTGATATGACCACAAGATTGATCATTGATCTTTGGCCTAGGGTGTTCTGGTACCAGGGACACTTATGAACCTCCCTGTGCTTGAACATGGTGTTCATTATGACCAGTCCATGACTTGCACAGAAGTCCAATGACAAAGCACCACTCGGGTTCAGATCAGGCAGGCTGTTCCTCCCAATCACCCCCCTCCAAGTTTCTCCGTCATTGCCCACGTGAGCGTTGAAGTCCCCCAGGAGAACTATGGGGTCCCCAGCCGGCACCCCTTGCAGGATGCTGCCAAGAGACTCCAAGAAGGCCGGGTACTCCGCACTACCGTTCAGTGCATACGCACAAACAACAGTCTGAGACGACCCTCTCATTCTCCAGGGAGAACCTCAACATGGTGGCGCTCAGGTGGGGGCTTGTGACTATCAACATTTTTTCGGCCACTTTTTCTGACATTTAAATAATGTTTTTTGAACATTTTATCAACATTTTACAGATATTTTATTACCATTTTTTGGATATTGCATTATTTTAATAATAATGTTGATAATCTGTCAGGAAAATATTAATACAACACCCTGAAAAGTTGTGATAAAATGTCTATGTCTGAAAAACATGATTGAGTTCCCAATTTTTTTTTAAAGTCCAAGTAAATGTTAATGAAATGTCTGAAAATAATATTAAATGGTCTAATAAATTCTTTATAAAAGTCCAACAAAATGTTGATAAAATGTCCAAAAAACATTAAAATATCTGAAAAACAAAAAGTTCAAAAAGTGTTGATAAAGTGTCTGAAAAATACTTGTACCTGAAAGAAATGGTAATCAAGTGTCTGAAAAAATGTCAATAAATTGTCCATATCCTGAAGCAAGTCCTCTGACCGAAAGCTTGGTATATTAAAGATACTTGCATTGATCGAAGTGTGCAGATACTCTTTTCTACACAAAAAATTGTCCATAAATATTAGCATGCCTGAAAAGATCTGAAGACTGTTAAGTGTCTAAAAAATATTGATACAATACCCCAAAAACTGTTTAAAAAATGTAAAAAACAAAACAAAACATTAATGAAATGTCCAAATGTGTTTTTAAAAATCCAAAGAAGTTGATAAAGTGTCTGACACATAAATACAATGCTAAAAAAAAAAAAATGTCATATGTCTGTAAGAAAAACATTTTTAAAAAGTCCAAAATATCCAATTATATATCTGAAAATTTATATTTAATTGTCCAATAATGTGTAAAAAAATCTGCAGGACTTTGTATTAATAAATGAGGCTGCAGGTCATTTATATAAAGAAGAGACAGCAGAGGACCAAGGGATGACCCCTGTGGGACGCCACACAAGGAGAACACTTTTCTTTATTCCTTAGATACTCAAGTTACCATTGAGCTACTAATTGTTTGAACTTAATTTGGCAACTTCAGTTTCCTGTCCTCAGTCTGAAGAAGCTGTGATGACTGCTGAGCATCACACTGATGGTTCCTGAGCTGATAACGCCACATGAATCTCTGCTCACAAACGCCGCATCTGAATCTTTTCTCCCCTGTGTGACGGGCCGTGTGTTGCGTCAGGTGAACCTTCTGTGTGAACCTTTTCCCACAGACAGAGCAAAGAAACGGTTTCTCTCCCGTGTGTGTGATCATATGTCTCTTCAGATTTGGTTTCTGCAAAAATGTCTGATCGCAAACGGAGCAGCAAAAGGGTTTCTCTCCCGTGTGAGTCATCACATGTTTCTTCAGGTCAGTTTTCTCCCAAAATCTCTGATTGCAGACAGAGCAGCCAAGCGGTTTCTCTCCTGTATGAGTCATCAGATGTTTCTTCAAGTTTCCACTTTCTTTAAAAGCTTTCCCACACACAGAGCAGCTGAATGGTGTTTCTCCTGTGTGCCTGATCAAGTGATTCTTCAGATTTGCCTTTCGTAAAAATCTCTGGTCACAGATGGAGCAGCTGAAGGGTTTCTCTCCCGTGTGAGTCATCATGTGTTTCTTTAGATTTCCATTTTCAATAAAAGCTTTCCCGCACACGGAGCAGCTGAAGGGTTTCTCTCCTGTGTGAGTGATGAGGTGCGTCTTCAGGTGCGCCTTACTCAAAAATCTCTGAGCACAAACTGAGCAATGAAACGGTTTCTCTCCAGTGTGAATTCTCATGTGTGTCTGTAAACTCACGTTTTGTGTAAAAGACTTCATACAGACGGAGCAGCTGAACGGTTTTTCTCCTGTGTGAGACCTAATGTGGACATTCAGGTTACCCTTTGTTAAAAATCTTTTGTTACAAATGGAGCAGCTGAACGGTTTCTCTCCTGTATGAATGATCATGTGTTTCCTGAGAGTTGTCTTGAGGCTGAATCTTTTCCCGCACTCAGAGCAGCTGAATGGTTTCGAATCGCTGACGGGAACTTCATGAGGTTCTCTGGTCTCCACTGAGTCGTCAACACTGACTTCAATTTCAGCTACTAAAGAGTCTCCGCTCCTGTCCTCAGACTCTGGATCAGAATTCCTGTCTGGTCCTGGTGGTGGTCCTGGTCCTGGTCCTGGTCCTCCACAGTGGTGTCCCTCAGACTGAGGTTTCTCTTCATCATCTTCACTCTTCACAGGGACAGGAGTGAATGTGAACTTGGTGATATCAGCCTCCTCCAGCCCTTGAAGCTGCTCTCCCTCCTGACTGCTCCACAGTTCCTCCTCTTCCTCTTTAATGTGTGGGGGCTCTGGGTCCTCCTGGTCCACACTGGAGCTCCACTCCTGCTGCTCAGGGGGAACCTCTTCTTTAACCACCAACAGCTGCTGCTGGACCTCTGCACCAAACAGGAAACAGGAAACAGAGGCAAACTGTCATTTGATGCCAGGTGAGCAACCTGACAAACTGCAGGATATAGTGCCCACATATTTTCTGATATTTTATTCATATTTTTTAGACATTTTATCAGCATTTTTCAGACTTTTAAAAGAATATTTTTGGACTTTGTAATAATATTCCTCGGATGTTTTATCAGCATTTTATGGACATATTTACTTTTTTGTTTTAGACAATTCTATCAGCTTTGTTTTTCAGGTCTTTTTTAATAACATTATTTTAAGATGTTTTGTCAATATTTTTTGTCATTTCACATTTTAATCAACATTTTTTTCAAATATTCACTTACGATTTTCTTCTGGCATTTTTTTAAATGTATTTCAGACATTTTAAAAATGTTTGCAGACGTTTTATGAGCATTGTTTAGACAATTTTTTATTTTTATATTTATATATAAACATTTATATAAACATTTATAAACATTTATAAACATTTTTTTCTGACATATTTTCAATATTTTAGTGGACAGTTTAATAATATATTTCAGACAATTTATCAACATTCTATTTTGGACTGTTAATAAACATTTATCGATATTTTGTTCCAAAATTTTATAATTATTTCTCTGACATTCAATTAATTTCTCATCGAAGTTTCAACAATATATAGAATATATTTTTTGGACATTTTATGAACATTTTCTTTTAATTTAAATAATATTTTTGTGACATTTTATTAATTTTTTCCCGAAGTTTGATAAATAAACTTTATCAACATTTTTTTCAGACATTTCATTTTCCCCAACATTTTAATAATATTTAAAGACATTTTATAAATATTTTTGAGACTTTTTTTCCAGACAATTTTCAACAATTGATTCGACAAATTAAAAAATATTTTTCATTTTACATTTTATAATTCATTTTAAAAGACATTCTACATTTTTCCCCCAACATTCATATTATTCTGATATATATATTTCTTTTACACAATGTTGCAATAATATTTTTTATATTTTGAGTTTTTCTCAACAATATCAACAGTTTTGAATATTTTATTCCCATTTTTGTACTTTTTTTTGGTAATATTTTTCGGATGTTTTATCAACATTTTCTGTCAC